AGTCAGATCCCCTACATTAGATATAAACCCAGCGCTGTCTGAGCCTGTCCTGATAACGTACAGTCAGATCCCGTACATTAGATATAAACCCAGCACTATCTGAGCCTGTCCTGATAACGTGCGGTCAGATCCCCTACATTAGATATAAACCCAGCGCTGTCTGAGCCTGTCCTGATAACGTGCGGTCAGATCCCCTACATTAGATATAAACCCAGCGCTGTCTGAGCCTGTCCTGATAACGTGCGGTCAGATCCCCTACATTAGATATAAACCCAGCGCTGTCTGAGCCTGTCCTGATAACGCGCAGTCAGATCCCCTACATTAGATATAAACCCAGCACTGTCTGAGCCTGTCCTGATAACGTGCAGTCAGATCCCCTACATTAGATATAAACCCAGCGCTGTCTGAGCCTGTCCTGATAACGTGCGGTCAGATCCCCTACATTAGATATAAACCCAGCGCTGTCTGAGCTCAACCTGATAACGCGGCGTGTCAAATCCCTACATTAGATATATAAACCCAGCTGTCTGAGCCTGTCCTGATAACGCAGTCAGATCCCTACATAGATATAACCCAGCGCCTGTCTGAGCCTGTCCTGATAACGCAGTCATCAGATCCCCTACATTAGATATAAACCCAGCTTCGTCTGAGCCTGTCCTGATAACGGTGTCAGGATCCCCGCAATATTTGTATATAAAACCCAGCGCTGTCTGAGCCTGTCCTGAGAATGTAGTCGGATCCCCTACATTAGATATAAACCCAGCTGTCTGAGCCTGTCCTGATAACGTGCAGTCAGATCCCCTACATGAGTTATAAACCCAGCACTGTCTGAGCCTGTCCTGATAGCGTGCAGTCAGATCCCCTACATTAGATATAAACCCAGCGCTGTCTGAGCCTGTCCTGATAACGTGCGGTCAGATCCCCTACATTAAATATAAACCCAGCACTGTCTGAGCCTGTCCCGATAACATGCAGTCAGATCCCCTACATTAGATATAAACCCAGCGTTGTCTGAGCCTGTCCTGATAACGTCAGATCCCCTACATTAGATATAAACCCAGCACTGTCTGAGCCTGTCCTGATAACGTGCAGTCAGATCCAATACATTAGATATAAATCCAGCACTGTCTGAGCCTGTCCTGATAACGTGCGGTCAGATCCCCTACATTAGATATAAACCCAGCGCTGTCTGAGCCTGTCCTGATAATATGCTGCTAGCCTGATAATTAGTAATTCTTTGATCTCCAATTGCAGTCATTAGATCAGT